GACCACTGAAGAACAGGGTAAAACGGGGCTGACAAAGTATGCAGAGAAACAGATGGACTACAGTCTGTAACTGTAGAACTACAAAGTGCACCTATACAGTAAGAGGAGCTGATAAAATGGACAATGAGTGTAGAAACAAGGAGGTGGTCAATGTCCTAATCCTAATTATCGTTTAATGCTTATAACATTTTCTGATTAGGAGATTCACACCATCAAACTATCCTACCTGCAGTTTTAACATGATGAGGTCAGCTTCCTATTCGCCTGCTTCTTGTTCGAATTTTCCCGTTCCACCTTAAATGATGCAGCATGTGTGTTCTGGAGCCTCAGGCATTATATAACTGAAGCACCATTTAAGGTGGAACGGGGAGCTGGTAAGTAAGAAGCTGACTTCAGCTTGGTAGTTTTAATGCTGGTAGGATTTTTGATGAAGGTGATTTAAGCTATCAAAATATTCTAGAGTTTTAGGTATGGAGCTACCTATAAATATGAGCTATGAAAGGATATTTTGACAAGGAAGCGCAGTTTAAAACACTCACTAAAGTAGTGGGTTCAGGTCACAAAAAAGAACCATAAGATTTGAAGTGTTGGCCCATGTTCTGCAGACAGGCTGACCTTCTGCAATGAAGTTTCCCTCTACACTCTTATAAAAACCAAAACATGACCACATTTCAGAATTTCAGACTCAAATATTTATTTATACAGTGAGGCGCTGAAACATCTCCAGTGCACCGTCATTGGCTTCCGCCATGTTCACATTGACACAGAACAGACCTGTGTTGCGTGCTGGGCCTGCGTCTTGGAAACTGGTGCCAATATTGGTTGAAGCTGGACAGTATTTAAATGAGTTCTTCAAAGCTCTGTAATTGACCACAGCTATAATAATGAAAATTCGAAACTGTAATACTGTTTGGAATTTTACCGTGAGACCTAAGCGTTTCATCACTACTCAGAGGTACTGAAGCATTAAAATTGGGCCTAGAAGTCAATAGTCACCAAAATCTTTACTGGAAAAAAAAAAAAACCCAAAACGTCTCTCAACCTGCTCAAAACGCATCCAGGACTTCAGTAAAGTAACTCAGACTTGTCAATGTGGTTTAGAGCACAATATGGCTTACAGTGAATAATAAAACACAATATGCAGATGGACCTTGCTGGCAACCGAATCTCAAGCTGAAGATATGCTTATAAATAAAAACGACAGAAAGTAATCCAGCACCCATGACTTATACCACGTCCTGAACGACATCAGTAAGTCAGCATGACCTTAAAGAAGAGTTAGATGTGGGTTGAGGGAAGTTTTAGGGACTATTTTACAGAAAAGTTTTGGGTGACTATTGACTTCCAGCATTTGTTAGCAACATTAGTCTCATAGCTTGTCTTAAATAACAAAAGCATCAAAACATCAAATGTGCGCTGGCTGATTGGACACATCTAGTGTCCTACAGAGGGGACTAGTTTGTGGTCATTTGTAGTGAGCGTAGAGGTTTTTCAAACTGTTGTCCACTATTTAACCAACTGCCCACTGGCTTCTACTGTAAAAGTGTGATGTCCGTGGGTCGGTCTGTGGTAATGGACCGTACGATGAAGATGAGGCAGACTGAGATCAGGCAGAACAGACTGAAGTACTCCTTTAAAGTGCTGTGCATGAATCACTGCTGACATATATGAATCACAGGCTGTGTAAAATGGCTCATAGCTTCAGCGGCACCGTCCTCAAGCACGATAATGGAAATGTCATTTTCAGTATTTTTATGAGTACAAAAACAAAAAATAATATAAAATATATAAAAATATATATAGATTTTTAATCTCTCACACTCCACCCCTCTGTGTTCTAGTTTCAGAGAGAGCCATACGGCGTGTGTGTTGGCTGCAGAGCGGAGTGTGTTCTGCAGATTAGCGACCATATGCTTTCTCGGGGGGGGGCTCCCACCCACACACGCAGGGGACAGACTGGGGGAGTCACCTTGGCGACCGCACTGTTGCCCCAACAACAAGCTGAGGCAGACAGACCCCCACCTGAAGATCACACCTGGCCAAGAAGTGCACACACACACCCCAAGTGGACCGGTAAGAGTGTAAAAATGCATAAAGATGCTGATTCAACTATATTATGTAATGTTAGAATGGATTATAATCAATAACAACAACAAAACAATAATAATAAAAATAAAAATAATAATAATAATGATAAACAGCCAAAATTACATTCAAGTTATTAAAAAATAACAAATCAAAAACAAATAAAATGGTATCTTTATTGTCTACATTCCACTACTGTATAAATGATCCCTCCAGTAAATTTTGTTAAAAAATACAAAATTTCATGAAAATACAAGATTTAATGTGAATCTCTGAACTGTACCCCCCAAAACATTGGGGGAGCTGGTTGGTAAGGGCAACCAGAAACACTCCCATTCAAAGTTAAGGTTTTTTCCTTCTTCCTTCTTCTGTAGATACAAGGTTTTGTTAGAACAGTGATGATCACTTAATTGTATCTGGGTTATATGTTTTATTTCCTCACTTCTTCTCCAAAAAACAGCATTAATACCCTTGTTGAACATGGCAAGCTTCGAACATGGCAAGACCCGATTCCACAAGTGTCACCTTGCCTTGAGTTCCAAGCTGTAGTGGTTGAAATCTTCCCCTATCAAATAACAAAGAACATTACTTCATTAACAGCTACTAGCGCTGCTCTGTAGGTGACCCTGCCAGTCTGCAGTGACAGCAGAGGAGGGTAAAGTTCAGTAACCTCACTGCTGGGCTTTAGTTACATTTAGGAAATTGAAGGGGGGATACGACAGTTATTTATTATCACCCAACCCTAATTATTGGGTGATATGAAGCTGAGGTCAGCTATTCACCAGCTTCTCATTCAAATTTTCCTGTTCCACCTTAAATGGTCCAGCAGTCACATTCTGGCGCTTCAGGCATCAGTACATCTGGACTATTTAAGGTGGAATGGGAAATGTAGCTAGCTAGCTACCAAGACATTAACATAATACTAGCAATTTTTTATGCTTGTTATGAAGAAAAGAACCATAATACGTTGAAATGACTTTCTCTCTGAAAAACCTCCGTTTGGAGGGCCTTGTAGCCGTAACACTTCGCCCTACCCCTCTATCTCAACAAGAATCGGGACACCCTATCTCTAGCTGTGAACGCACAAAAGGGGGGGCTAAGTGGTAGGGGTGAGTGGTGAAATGGGATTGGGCCTTAAGGTCAGTGTCAATGATAACTGCCCTTCGATGATTCCGACAGTCTTGTTTGTTTTCTGTATTGTTGGAGGCCTGGAATGAATATAGCTTACTGGCACGATGGCAGATTAACTTTTTAGTCCACCCACCCATCACAGTCTCTGGTGCCCAAATATTCCTAATCACATTTTTTTTAAATACACATTTTCCATCTTACTAGTACCATAATAAATGTGTTTATGTGGGACTCTTATTTTGACAGCAGAGGTGAAGGCGAAGGTGCAGGCTACTGGAGCTTCTTCACATCAAGCTCACTTTGTGCACTGGCGCACAGTCATGGAGGACCAGGAAAGGGTCTTTCCCAAACTGTTACCATGTTTCCACTGCTCCAGACCCCAGTGGCGGTGTGCTTTACACCACTCCAGTCGACGCTTGGCATTGCAGATAGTGATCTTAGGCATGTGCGCAGCTGCTCGGCCATGGAAACCCATTCCCCGAAGCTCCCGATGCAGTTCTTGTACTGATGTTGCTTCCAGAGGCTGTTTGCAACTTTGTAGTGAGCAATGTAACAGAGGAAAAGCGATTTTTTACGTGCTACATGGTTCAGCGCTTGACGACCCCACTGACTTGTGGTTTACAGCTTTGTGGCTGAGCTGTTATTATGCAATAATAGAGCTTTACAGTTGACAGGGCAGATCTATCAAGGCAGAAATTGCACAACCTGACTCGTGGCAGAGGCGCCATCCTATGATAGTGCTACATTTAAAGTCACTGAGCCCTTCAGTACAACCCATTCTACTGCCAGTGTCTGTCTATGGGGACTACGTGGCTATGAGCTTGATTTATACCGAACTGTGTGTACATCTATGGCCAAATGTAAACATTTACCCACAAAAACTGTTAACATTTGAACTGTAACTGTACATTTGAACTGGCCCTATGTAGCCGAGTCCTGGTAGGCTGAGACCACTCATGTAACCACACTGAACCATTCTGTGGTCAGATATGGACACCCTTACTGGCGATGGAAAATGAATATTTGTTGTGATACTAAAATCAATAAATGTGACTATGCCAGCACGGTTTTCTCAAAACCTGGTTTATTAAATCTAGAAAACACCATTTTCCTTAACGGTTCATAACAATAGCAGGAACAAAGTAATGAAATGTCATTTTTGGGGGGGAGGGATGGGGGTTGGTGGGGAAGGGGGGCAGGTTGGCCCCTGAGTTTAAAAAGTTTAAATCTGTTTCCTCTTCCTGAAGTCAGCTAGCCCCCACCTGTGTACACACAGGAAATGATGCACGAGAGAGAGAGAAAGAGAGGGAGAGAGAGCGAGACTCAAATGGCTCCCTAGTGCATGTGTAGTGAACTGTATGGGTTTTGAAGCCATTATTTTGTGACCTATGTAGTGCATTATGTAGCGAGTCGGGAGGAAGGGTGCCATTTGAGACTCAGCCAGACAGAGAGAGAGAAAGAAGGAGAATGAACGGTTTTAAAGGTGTGAAACAGAGGCAGATAGAGGGTGAAAGAGAGAGATAGGAGAACAGGAGAAGAGATAGACAGAGAAAAAGAGTGAAATCAACAGCTAGACATGATTGTGTACAATATAAATTAAAAAGGACACATACAGAAAGAGTGAAAAGGAGAAAGAGAGAAAGAGAGAGAGGAAGAAGGGGAGAGGTGTGCTTAAGTGTATTGTCCAGGGCCGTCGACAGGAGAACATTAATCAGCATATTGAAACTCCGGAGGCATCAGGTAGAAAAGTTGAATTGCAATGTCCCTCAGTTTTTTTGTTTGTTTTCTTTTTCAAGTCAAGGTTATTCCTGCCAAAGGTGAGAAATAAAAACAAAAACAAAATAATAATAATAATAATAATAATAATAATAATAAAAAACAAATACGTAACATCAACATGTCATTAGGTTGGTGTTTCCTGTCGCAGTAAAATTTGAGGAGGAGAGAAGGTAGAGAGGGATGGAGGGATGAGGAGTCTTCAGCATAGATCGCAAAGAGGAGAGGAGTGGGGGAAAGGGGCGGGGCTTCACCACAGACGCCGCTCAGACAAAATCGGGAGGGGAAGTGCAAACATTGTCTTTTTCCTGGAGAGAGAAGAGAGAGAGAGAAGAGAGAGAGAGGGGAAGAGAGAGGGGAAGAGAGAGAGAGAGACCGCCGAAGAACAGAAACGGACCAACTCATCCATCCGACAAGACATCGATCTGTCAAATCGAATTCCATCCGTCTGTCCATCCATCACTCGTTCAGTGTCTATAGTCTGTTATTCACTTGCTCTGGCTGTATCTCAAACTGCTTCTTATTCCCTATATAGTGCACTATATAGGTCATTAAATAACAGCATCATCACCCAAGTAGTGCACTAATTGAGAGAGAGAGAGAGAGAGAGAGAGAGAGAGAGAGAGAGAGAGAGAGAGAGAGAGAGAGAGACTGAAACCCAAACGGCTCCCTAGTGGACATGTAGTGAACTATTTGCCATTAATTCATGACATACCGAGTGCCCTAGGTAGGGAGCAGGGAGGTAGCCAGCCATTTGCGGATCAGCCAGAGAGAAAGAGAGCCCATAGAGGAAGAGAAATGGACGAAACTTATCCATCCATCCAAGCTTTCTGCCCATCCGTCAATCTTAGTCAGTGTCTCAATGGCTCCCTATGCCCTATATCATACCCAAAAATAGTGCACTACAAAGATAATGAAATAATGGCACCTACACACATATAGTGCACTATAGGTCCAAAAGAGAGCCAGCTGGAACTCAAAATCTCTCCCTCTTTCTCTCTGACTCACTCCCTTGTTCACCCAGTAAGTGGACAGCACACTCTCTCTCAACTGGCAGAGCTGACCAGCATGAGAGTGTGTGTGCATATACAGTGAACTATTTTGACTAATGTAGTGCACAATACAGGGAGTACAGAGCCACTAGATATTCAGTCAGAGAGAGAAAGAGTGAAGAGAGAGAGATTTCTCCGTCAGTCTCATTAAGTGTGTTTTTTTTAGTTTCTCACTCTTTGGCTGTGTCTCAAACGGACCCCTATACTATATAGTGACAGTGAGCCATTTGTGCACTTTAGTGGATACAGTGCACTACATAGGTCATGAAATACTGGCTTCTAGACCCAAACAGTGCACTGTGTGTCCAATAGTGAGCCATTTGGGACTCAGCATGCTCTCAGCTGGGAGAGTGTGGATATACAGTGTACTATTTCACCAGTTTAGTGCACCATATAGAGAGCAGGGAGCTATTCGAGATTCAGCCAGCGAGAGAGAGAACGAATGAGAGAGCGAGCATATAGGAAGAAAAACTTATCTATCCATCTGACAAGTCATCTGTCCACCAGTCTCCTCCAGTGTCTGTTTTTCAGTTTCTCTCTCACTGGCTGCATCTCAAATTGCTCCCTATATCCTACACAGTAGCAAAGGGAGCCTTTTGTGCTATAGTGGCTACAGTGCACTAGATAGGTCATGAAACAACAGCTTTCAAGACCCAAATAGTGCACTGTATGTCCAACAGGGAGCCAATTGGGATTCAGCCCCTCTCTCTCGCCCACTCCTCAGGGGGCGGACAGCGGACTCTCTCGGCTGGGCGAGCCGGCGAGCGACAGGTCGTCCGGAGGGAAGACGGTCAGTGTGCACGCTCGGATCCCGCCCAGTGACTCTGGCAGGTCGAACACTTTGTGCCACTCGTCCTTGTCCGGATCGTACTTCTGCACGATCTCCACCATGCACCGGTTGTTCCATGAGTAGCCGCCCACCACGTAGATCTTGTTCTCGAAGACGGCCACGCCCACGTCGCTCTGGCCGCGCAGCATGGCTGCGATGGGCGTCCACATGTCCAGTGCCGGGCTGTAGTACTCGCAGCTCAGCACGTCGTCGTAGTCGCTCGTACCCCGGAAGTGGTTTCCGCCGATCACGTAAAGTCGGTCACCCACCGTGCACATGCAGTGCAGCCCGCGTACCGTCGTCATGGCGGCCTTCTGCGTCCACTTGTCTGCGTCTGGGTCGAAGCACATCAGCTCCTTCTGGAAGGTGTCATGGGTGATGCCACCTGCAGGATAAAGCAGGATATTCTGATTAAACACAAGCAACTCTTAGGTTAAATGATAAAGATCTCTATCATTATTGTAATTAAACCCTCAAGAAAATATTTTTTGTTTCTGTTGTTATTATTAGATTACTTTTTCATGCTCTTCTAAAAGCTCAATGAAATATATGTGAATTATTCCGTTTCTCACATTAGGTGTCACACCACTTTTAATTTCAAGAACGCTTAAATGCAGGTGGAAACCAGAGCTTTTCATTAACACTTTAGTTTGGGGGTTTACTGGAGGTTTACTGAAGTCTTGCTCTTCGTTCAATGAAAGCCAAATTAGACAATTCTGAGATGCGTATTCACTGTATATTAAGCTTTAGTCTTTATGACCTGTATTAGTATCTAATCAGAGATCTGTTATATGAACATCTCTAATAATTGCATTATTTCTTGTAATAATGCACAATAAACACTATATTACAAATTACTGAGGAGGTATCTATCTGATTAGTGCACAATTGGCAAGCCAGGCCAGAAAAAAAATAGATAAGCTGCTGCTCTTTGCCTAAAACAAAGCCTGACCATTTACATTACGATTGCAATATTGGTCAGAAAATTTGCAATTGCATATTTTGTGTAAACTAACTAAAAACCTGTTTAGCACTTTTTCACCTATAATCAGTGATGACTAAACTCTAGAATACAGAAGACATTTTCAAGTATTTGTGACTCCAGAAACCAAATGTAATAATTAACAAGACAATTACACACTAATACGTATTTAGGTGATCACCTTATGTTCAATAATTTGCATAGCAAAGTCTTAGTGTTTATTGTGCATTATTAACAAATAATGCAACTACTAAAGGTTTTCACATAACAGACCTCCAATTATATACTATTACATGTCATTATGAATGAGGCTTACTGCGTATTGAATAAACTTCAAGTATCTAATTTGGGCTTCCCAACATAGGATGACCAATACAAACAGCAGACGAGCTACTGTCTCTGACTTTACATCTCCAAGGTGGACTGACAAGGTAGGAGTGTCTAATAGAGTGGACAGTGAGTGGACACAGTGTTTAAAAACTCCAGCAGCACTGCTGTGTCTGATCCACTCGCACCAGCGCAACACACACTAACACACCACCACCACGTCAGTGTTACTGCAGTGCTGAGAATGATCCACCACCCAAATAGTACCTGCTCTGTGAGGGTCCATGGGGGTCCTGACCACTGAAGAACAGGGTGAAAGGGGGCTAACAAAGTATGCGGAGAAACAGATGGACTACAGTCTGTAACTGTAGAACTACAAAGTGCACCTATACAGTAAGTGGAGCTGATAAAATGGACAATGAGTGTAGAAACAGGGAGGTGGTCATAATGTTTTGCCTAATCGGTGTAACATCGCTGTCTGAACAAAACCTTCTATACCCAAAACGAAAAACCCCAATCGAGTTTTAATGGATGTTAATTTAATAAGATTTTGGGCCACTTATATTGGTCCATTAATCAAGAAAACTGACACTGGCACTAAGTACTATCCGAAGTAGCTGGTGTGTGTAGACAAGTGGGAGAGCGGAGATATATAATAGACTGTAAACAACACACACACACACACACACACACACACACATCCCTCACAGTGCAGTGAAGCATTAAAAACAACAAATAACACAACAACAACACCTTACAGTCTCCCCCCACCCCCTCCCACCATGTGTCTCACTCACATGAAGGTACAAACATACAGATCAGCACAGAATAATGAATATTAATGCACGACTACATACATATACATACATACTGAGACAAAGGAGACAGATAGCAATAGAGAGAGAGAGAGAGAGAGAGAGAGAGAGAGAGAGAGAGAGAAAGAGAGAGAGAAAGAGACTTGTAAGGGAAGCGGGAAGCGAGGGATAAGAAAAAAAAAAACAGGACATGTCTACAGGGAGGGCTGAAAATAAAGAGCAGAAACATCCCATAAGGCTTTTGGGCATCAGCCAAAAAGCCCCGCCCTTCTCTCAGTTCCTCTCCATCTCTCCTTCTTTCCCTGTTGTCTCTCTAGTCTTTTTTTTCCTCCCTCTCTCTCTCTCTCTCTCTAACCCCCGTCCTCCCGCCCAAGCCCCCCTTTCTTGCTCCCTCAGCTTTGGGCTGGCCGAGTGACCGCTGGATCAAAGGATAAGATGGAGGGGGAGTCGTGTGTGAAAAGGGTACGAGATATTAACATAATACAGTCAGAGGGGGGAGAGGGGAGTGAGTGGAGAGAGAGACAGAGAAAGGTGAAAGGAGAGAAAAGGGCAGAGAAAGGAGAGATGGGGAGAGCAAGAAACAGGGAAGAGGGGAAAAGAGCGAGAGAGAGGGAGAGAAGAAAAAAGAGAAGGGAAAACGAGGGAGAAAAGTGGAGAGAGAGTAAGGGATGGAGAAAGAAAAAAGGGGATAAAGTAAAGGATGGAAAGAAAAAAGGGGGGAGAGAGAGAAAAGGAGAGAGAGTGTAAAGGAGAGAGAGAGAAAAGGGGAGAGAGAGAAAAGGGGAGAGAGTAAAGGAGAGAGAAGATGGAGGAGAAAGAAAAATGGAGAGAAGAAAGGAAAGAGCAATGAAGAAAACTAAAATGACAGAGAGAGAGAGAGAGAGAGAGAGAGAGAGAGAGAGAGAGAGAGAGAGAGAGAGAGAAGAAAGGAGGGACAGCGAAAAGCAGAGAGACTAAAGGAGAGAGAGAGGACAGGAGGAGAGAGAGTAGAGAAAGACAGAGTAAAGGAGAGAGAGAGAGTAAAGGAGACAATAAGATAAAGAGAGCAAGAAAAGGAAGAGAGCAGAGAGACAGAGGCAAAAGAAAAGGAGGGAGAGAAAAATGGAGAAAGAGGAAAGAGAAGAGAGAGAAGAAAGGAAAGAGCAATGGAGAAAACTAAAGCGTAAATGAGAAAGAGAGAGAGCAAGTGCGAGAGAGAGACCAGAGCAAAAGCGAAAGATCAGCAAGTTCTAAAAATACTCCGCAGTGATGGAGAGAAACGCAAGACAAGTGTTAGAATAAGTGTTTTTGTGTGAGAGTGTGTGTGTGTGTGTGTGTGTGTGTGTGTGTGTGTGTGTGTGTGTGAGAGTGTACATCTCCTCTAAAGTGAGTGTGAGAGTGTGTGTTATTGGGACTGTGTGGGTGTGAATGAATGGAGAGAGCAGGCAGCTAACAAAGCTAAATAAAAACAGTGTCTGAATGGAAGAGTCTGAGCACAAAACATCGACTCGTCCTCACAGATCTGTTCATTTATTCATTATTCTGTATTAATGGGTGTTAAAAGGCATTAAAAGGTGCTGATTCAAGAGTATCAGTGTTGATCATGTCTGAGTAGAAGATTTCCAGTAACACACTAACTGATGTGCTCAATTCAGACTTCATCATTTAAACACATTTTAAATGAAAAATATGAAGACTGTAATCATGTTGCAGAGCTGGGAGGCTGGCGGGGAGCTGGAGGGAGAGGCTGATTGGTGCTAATTATTTGCAACCTTCAGTGTTCAAACAATGCAACTGTATTAGGTGGCATAATTACTAGAATGTTCGTTCTCCACAATGCATCGTCACAGTTTTGCACTGTGAGATCAATGTCACGATGCGATGTCTCACCCCTGTGATAAACTATATACTCTGCGTACTAAACTCCATATAACTATATGTATTTCAGGCTTCTAGGCAATAAATCATATACAGTACTGTGCAGAGACCCAAGACTTGGATATAGAGATATAAGCCTAGCCAAGCCAAAAAACAGTTTAAAACCATTTATCACAGTAGTAAGTGTGCTGTGGTTTTATCTGTACAAACACTATAAAACAAACAAACACAGTACAAGATACAGGAAGTTTTGACTCCTGAGTTCTTGCTGCACTCCAGACACTGCATGGATTTGTTAAACTGCATCATCTGATTTAAACTGAAGAAGGATTAATTAGATAAGCTAGGTATTAGACCGTAGCTGTAAGCACTGGTCTTCTTTAAGGGGCACTTTGGACTGGAAACGATGCGCTCACACATTAAATAACTATGTACTGTTAATTTGTTTATTTGTATTTATTCTAATATTAAATATTTTTTAACAAGCAAAGGCCCAGTTTAACCAAAAGCATCTTAACTGGTAGAGTGAGTGTTCACTGCGATGCTCACGCTACCAATTTAAGAATCATCTTGGGAAGATCAGCCCTGAAAAAACATGCTTTAGACAGCATTTTCTCACATAGCCCAAGACTTTGGCACAGTACTGTATACCTCAGTACTTCCAGCCTTTTAGCTACTGTTACAATGTATTACATAACACATAATATTGTTAGTAACAACAGCTGTGATCGAATTACAACCACAATATTTATCACAATATCACACAGGATACACACACACACACACACACACACACACACACACACACACACACACACACACAGCCATAAAACTGTCATAATATCAGGTTCAGCTCAGCTTTTTTCAATATTTGCCAGAAGAACCTGAATTTTGATCTGTTAAGTCTGTATATCATTTCATGGCACATCTTGTTTGCTGAGTTTTATTCTGTTCATTTCTTCCTAATTCCAGTTTCTTTAGAAGTTCAGTCACAAACTCTGACCTAAAAGATCACTTGGGGGCAACGACAGGGTCAGAAAACGTGCTGCAGGCCAAATATAATCTTATTGAACTTATCTGTGTCCACTGTCTTAGAGTCTTCACAATGGTTAGCTGCAGTGCAAAGAGTGTTGTTACCTAGCAACAGGTGCTCAGTGTAATAATACAGTTATTACATTATGCTGTCAGAACTTGTTATATATATAAAATGTTATATAAATCTCAACATTCACGCATTTGGATTTTTTTCCCCCCAATCAGAACTTTAACCAGGACTAATCAGTCTTTATGTATTAGTGTTTAGGAAGCTCAACTGCCTGCATAAAAAAGTGCACTAAGATCACCATGATGTTCACGCTGCTGACAAAGTAATCGTGACTATATCAAACACTTGATCCATTGCCCAGCCGCACTAACACCCCTCCCACATTCTCCACACTGTTCACTCACAGTCTGGCAGTCTGCACTCTCTCTGTAACTGGTTTTACCTTCTTCTTTCTGGATCTCTCTAAACTTTCTCATCTATGTAACACAAGTCCTAACTTTTCCTTCTGCTCAGAAACCAATTTCTCTCACATCACTCCATACCTTTCTTCTCCTCTCTGCACCTCCCTCTTTCAGTGTGTGTATGCTGCTGAATCTAGGCCTCTTCTGCATAATGCAGGATTTGAGTTGCAATCCTATAAACAGAACAAGTGATGGAAACATTCCTACAGCGAGCGGATTAATTCCCCGTGTGTTTGGGTGTACTTGTCTTTAGCACTTTGTGAGGACTGCATGTCCTCGTGATGATAGGACAGCATGACAATGTTGTCAAGGACATACCTGAGGTACTAAAGTGACTGTATTTGTTCCAATGTAGTTCTGCTGTAAGTGAACTTTGGGGTCATGCCTGAAACCCCTCCTTCTTCCAATCTAACGCCCTATAAATTCACATCCTCACCTTCCGTTCCCATCCCCACCACCACCCCATCTCCTACCTGTTCCTCAGTCCTACATCAGTCTTGCTACTGCTATGAGGGGGGTCTGGCCTTCTAGCTGAAGACAGAAGCTGCCCAGAACTCCAGCCCAAGTTCTCAGAGTTCTCCCCTCTTCCTCAGTCTGCCTTCCCTCATACTACCACCACCATGTTAAAGGCATGGTCTGAACTCACAAACAAGTTATGAAAAAGCAAAAAAAGATGCAGTCTATTACTGTCGGGCCACATCATGGAAAACTGAATTTTCCTCCCTTTTTCGAAATCAAAGAGTTTCACTCTACACAGCCCATATATGGAAACCTATGCTGTAAAACAGCCTGTTTTGATTTCTGCATTAATGAGAGGCCAAATTTACTCATATCTGCCCATTCAGCCTACAGCAGTTTAGCGCCTCCCATTCACGCTGAAGCTATTAGGAGTTTAACAGCCTGGACTGCTTTTTGAATGAGGCACAATACAGGGTGGCCAATCAGAAGAGAGTTACTTGAAAAATGATCTTAAAAAGACAATAACAAAAACAAGCCACTCAATTCTAGGGTATAAAGAAAGTCTGGAAATGACTGTAGAAATTACTGCGACTGTTTTATGAATATAAAACCTCACAGATGATGTAAGTGGACCTCAAACAAAACTAAAATATAAGGCAAGTGAACAATATGGATAGAATAGTGATAATAATAGTGATAATAATAATGATAGGTAAAATGACAGTAAAGAAATGCTACAATAATGGCAGTCTAAAACGAATTAGATTACTTTTAATATTATAGAAACAAGCGATTTAAAGATTGTAAATTGTTCCTCTCAAAGTTTCTTCCTCTTGCTCACTGTCATTATTGGCTGGCTCATGGGGGCTTGGACCTTGTAAACGTGCAGTTCATTGACCTTATTGCAAAAACTACCAAACTGTACCAAGAACTACCCAACCCGACGAAAAACGAAGTTAGCTTACAAATTTCTGAGCAGAAACTCAAGCATGTCTATTATCTCTGGCCTGAGCAGTCTGTGCGGTGTTACCACCTAACCTGTGTGCAACTGGATGATAATATCACAAGCCTACGTCACAAGGAAAAAATATTAATTAAAATAATATATAATTAGGTTTAAGTGTTGTATTACCTGTCTACAATAACACAAGTCCAAGAAAGTCCTCACAAGTATAGCAACACCAACTTCTGTGTGTGTGTTTGCAAAGTACAGTAAACAACATCTTCTTGCTGTACAGCTGTTGTAGCTTTAGGCAGCGAATGCAGAAGAACTGCTTGTGAACCTGAAATATCTCCCACTGTCTGTGCTGTTGTACCTCACAGCTCCAGGTGTTATGGGCGTGAGTATGTGTGTGTGAAAGGAGTGTGAGATTTAACACATTTCTCACTCTCTTCCTGTGTGTATCACGCACACGTAAACTATGAGAACTGAACCTCCAGCCTAAATAAAGCATTCGCACACACTCTCTTTGTATCTCACAGGGAACAGACAGGCAGTTCCAGAAAAAGGACGAGTGTGAAGATCCCGAGTTTCACTAACTTCAGAGCTGAAGGAAAAGTCCAATCAAGTAATGCTGGAGTGGCCAACATCGAGGGGTGAAACGATACACGTACAGTACTGCCAAAAAGTCAGAGACCACTCTTCATTTATTCACTTCATTATAAACAAGTTATTTTTCAGCAGGTTTTTCTGAGGAGAAGAGATATGATAATCCTACTCCTATAAGGAAGGAGAACGTCAAAGGAAAATAAGTGAAAAAACACTCTCCAGAACTAGAGTTCAAAACACGATTAAAACATATGTAGAAAATGGGACCCCTTGCAAAAGTGCAAGACCTGCTAGACCACCAAAACTGCCCCATCAGATAAACAGCACTTAAAGCTTTTATCTTGGAGAGAGATGGGAAAATCAAGCTCCACTCTTACTTCAGATCTGAAAAAATCCAAAAAGTCCATCTTTCCAGTGTAAAAAGAAAACTCAACTCTACGGGTCTGAGAGGATGAGCAGCTGTCAAGAAGCCCTCACTGAGAAAAGGAACTGGAAAGCAAGTCTCTTCTATGGAAGCTGTAATAAAGGTAAAGAGGTGAGGCTTCATGTTAAATACATTTTCTCCTTTTCTCCCCTGACAGAAAAGTGAATGATGTACTTAACAGCCTTTTTGACTGAGAGATAAACAGAACGAGGTGTACAGGCTTCATATGACTTTTGAGGCCAAGAATCTATATGATCTTCTGAAAATGGCTACAGCCTGTGCTCCTGTGTAGTGCAACTGTAAGTTTGTTGGGATGTTCTGAGTTTGAACCCTGGTGATGCCACAGCCAACCTTGGCTTTATGGTCAGTCAGCCCAGTGCTGGCCAACAAGGGTGCCTGTTAGCCAATGCAGAGTAAAACATATGGTGGGTGGTGAATTGGTGGTGATGGACAGGAAACATACCCGAGATGTACATGTAGCCTCCATAGACTGTTCCAGCATGACCGTAGTGTGGTTCATTCATCTTCGCCACGTATGTCCACTCGTTTGTCCTGGGGTTATAGCACTCTACTGTCGCTGTGGAATGAGAGAGAGAGAGAGAAGAAAGACAGAGAGAAACGAATTAGCATCATAATTTCTCATCTTGGCATGTGAACTACAGCAAGAAGCTCTTTATAACTCTGTATCTACACTACACTGTCAGAGGGAGAGAGAGAGACTGATAGATGAAAAAGAAAAAAGACAGTAGGCAAGAAAAAGAAAGGGAAAGTAGGGAGGAAAAAACAAAAGAAGTAGTGAAAGAAGGAGTAAGAAATAAAGAAGCGGAAGCATGAGAGAACAAGCATTAGATAAAAGTAGGTCGAGTGAGAACACTAAAGAAGAGCTAAGAAGAAAAGTAAAGAACGGTCGCTTCGCTTCAATCAATGAGATCAGAACAAGAGAGATAGAGGAGCAGGAATAAACGATGAGAATCGCTCCATCTGCTCAAGAGAGGAGGAGAGCAATCAAGAAGGGATGACCACAGGGATGAAGTAGGAGAGAGCCGACATTTCATCTCTCTTCCACACACACAGCATGCGCCCTGTAGAGTCTGGGATACCTTCAGCTACCTGTCAGATAAATTCATTCTGTTTTTTTCAGATATTTAAAAATGCAGAGTGAACATTTCACTAAAGCATTAATTTAGATAAAAAAGAAAAAATACTCCTCTCAACACAAATGTAGTCCATCAGCCAAGACGTTTGGTGTCTGAGGTTTGCTTATTTAGCTTTGTACTGGAGCTATTAGCTGCATTGGCCACGTGCACTGTGCAAACTGCATGCCAATCACACTGGCCTCAAATCGTGTCTAAGTTATGCGATACAACAGTTAGTTTCGGCCATGCAAGCTGATTGGTTGAGAAGCGTTCTAACCGCGCTGCTATTTCGCCATAACATCACGGCCGTTTCACAAACACTGCATCACTCCGCTAAGACGCCGTTGCTAAGCAACGACTTTGACAGCTGTAGGAGACGCTCAAGCCATTTGAACGTTTTTACTTCTTACTTTGCCACAAACAGAAAATGGATACTTTTAAGATTACATTTGACCGACAGCCGATTTGGTCAGACTCTGAAGATGAGGCTACACTAAATTCCCAAACTGTCATCACCACTGAGCAGCTTTTCAGTCGGAAGCTGTGACAGAAGAACACCTACAAAACCTGGAGTTAGCCAGAAATAAAGCGAATACCGTTCACTAAACGTGCAGTCTCGTCTTCAGAGTCTGACCAAATCGGACTGAGCCATAAAACTGACGCAATAAAAAACAAAAAAGCTGCTCAGTGGTGATGACAGTTTAGGAATTTAGTGTGAGGAGCTGGAGAACGAATTACTGGCTGTACAGTGAGTGAGCGGAGTTCGTTACCGTGACGTAGCAACAAGCTGCTTGTTAAGGAACTATAATTTGGCGGAAGAAACTGCCAACATTAAAACATATTAAACGCCGCGTTCACGGCCCAGTTTATTAATCTCTTACTTTATTCGTTTAACTGTTGTATAAAAGCAGTATGACACGAGAGGGAGTGTGTTATCGCAAAATCACATCACAGCTGTGATGATCTACGGCGACCAAATCACAGCCGTGATGTTATTTCGTGATAACACACTCCCTCTCGTGTTCTACTGGTTAAATAATTCATTGTTTTTTCAGATATATTTTGTTGGAGAGTGATTTAAGACTGAATAATGCAGGTAGAAAGCAGCAGTTCTCTTTGCCTGAAATCAGACAAACTGTGCAAAATAAGCGTTTAGTTTATAAACTGCATTTTTTGACCAGTATAACTTTTCATGTTCAGACTACAACAATTAGTTTATAGACTACAAATGTTAATTTGTGGACAATAACAACTCGCCTGTGGACTAAAATGAGTTGTTTGTTGGAATATAATCATAAATTTGTGGACTAACAAGTCAGATGCAAATTATAACAAATCTTCTGCAGACTACAATGATTCGTTTGTGGGCCTAATGATTCATTTGTGCTTAAATGATTCGTTTGTGCACTATAATGATTTGCTTATGGACTGTAAAAGGTGCATTTGCAGACGATAATGATTTGATTGTGACTTCACAGTTCATTTGCGGACAACAATGATTTGCTTACGGACTACAACGATTCACTAGTGCGAACTAAATCTGTCAGCCCGAATATCCAAGCTGTTCACAGAGATCCATTCAAATGTTCTCATGAGTGCTTAGATCGATTCAGCACACTGAACTGTGTAATTTGATGTTAAATGCATTAAAATGTAGTGTTGTTTAGATGATTCTCGTTCTGTTTATTCTCTCCTTGGCCATTTAACCTCAGGAGCAGCTCTTAAACACTGGACTTGGCAGCGGAGATGAAGACTTAATTTCTAAGACCAGCGTTTCTCTCACGAGGCCTGAGTTAAGCTCAGTTAAGACTACTGCTCTTTAAATACAGTCCCACTGTCCCTTAAGGATGACCTCAGCCTCTCAACACAGCACTGTCTCCAGCGTGCCGTCCGATAATGATGACTTCACGGCTAAAAATAAGACATGCCTCTGGTTCTGTTAAGACGGAAGCAGAGCCTCTGCACCCTGATGATTAGAGGTGTAAATCTGACCTCTGACTAGAGGAGATATCTGCACAGCAGTGGACTTCAGACAAAAATAACACACCAAGCCTTCACAGGGGACTTTTAACATGTGAAAATAGCCTAAGCCTTTTATTTTGTTGAAAAAATAAATAAATAAATAAATAAATAAATTAGTGCATACCTCACTGAATATTGGAGTGGAAAAATACAGAGAAACATGAAAGCATGAGAACTTTGTCAAAATCTTACTATTAGTGGGAGGTAAGAGACAAAAAAAAATTGGATTGAAGTACAATTACATTTTCTGACGGCTTGGGTATCTCAGTGTATATTTATGTTTTCGAAGAAACCAATTTATATGCTCAAGAAAACTTATTTGGTAGGTTAACAGTGACTTATTACTCTGCAACAATCCCCTTTCACTTTTTGAAATGTTTCTAACATGTAAAGTAAATCTTTAACTTTAAATATATAAATATATAATTTTTAAATATTATTAATTTTTAAGGCATTTCTCAAGTCATTCGTCTCATATGTGCATAACATTTACATTTATTGCTTGGTGGTCTGTGGTGCGGTGACTAATCAGTGGTACCAGTCCTCACGGAAAGATAAATGATCATAGCAATGGACGGTCATTTTACAAAATGAACCTGACTGGAGGTCGTAGGGGGAAAAAACCCAAACAAAACAAGAAAAAACAACAAAAAAAAACAAACAAAAAAAAACAAACAAAAAAAACAAACATGCACAGAAATTTGACTGGCAAGAGAAAGAGAGAAAAGTCTGGCGTTTGAGTTTTGAAACACCTACTTTGAAGGTCAAAATAATACTGTAACGAGTGAACCGTCTTTTTCTTTAGAATGTAATTCTAATGAGAAAGTATTAATCTGAATAATACTTAAGTAAAGCAGAAACACTCCAAAAATAGTACTTATTAAGTATAGAAACAAACAAGGACTATTCTAATATTTTCCACTGACCTTAAATACATTTTTACATCCGCTTCTAACAATCAGCGAACACCTTATTTATTTTGCTTCTAAAAATGTGCCCACACATCTGCTGCCTAATGATGACCTTCATGAGTACAAAAACAATCAAAATCCTCACATGAACTTGTCCATAAGGACCATTTAATGGGCTCCGGTTCTCTCGGGAGTCTGTCAGCGGCGTCTGACCTCATTCAGAATAGACTATTGTCATGGGAACCTATTCCTGTCCTAACGCTTCACTAAATTTCCTCTGGGAGTCCGTCCCCTAACGATGACCTCACACGTGAGCAATCTTTCGTTTTTCAGGGTCATGTGACGCTCGCATTGCGCTGGATGACGAGGCGGGATCGTCCCCTGTCGTTCTGCTGTTTCTATTCCTGTTTTATGCAGACAGCAAAAATAAAATAAAAAGGGGGAAAAGAGGCCAGAAGAGGAAAACAAAAAGTAATTTAATTTAAGTTAATAAAGGCAATAAAATCCACCTGACTGGCACGAATCCTGTCACCATGGCAACAAAAACCATGAAAACATGGGCAGTCAAGCAGGAGCAGTGTGAGGAGAGATAGACAGATAGATAGGGAGAGAGAGAGAGATAGATAGATAGATAGATAGAGAGAGAGAGAGAGAGAGAGAGAGAGAGAGAGAGAGAGAGAGAGAGAGAGATTTCAGGATACTCTCTAGTTGTCAGGATCTTTGTGTGGTCAGTGGTGTTTATGTGAGAGGCCGGACGTGTAATTTAGTGGGATTGGCACAGCGGCAGAGTAACCGCTGTTTCTGTTTGTGTGTAGACATTCTCGTCTTTACGGATGGTTTGCATTACACACAGTTTGTATGCACAAAGTTTGAACAGCCCAGGTCCAAAGTTTTGTTGATTTTCTAAGTGAAAATAAGTTAAAACATCCTCTACAGCAGTGCTGGCCAATACGTCGATCACGATCGAACAGTCGACTGCACAGTGCATGTTGGTAGATCGCGCCGCATTCAAACAGCCTATCAAATTTCAACACTTTCTTGCTTCTGGCCACATGCAGGTCAATGTGACTGAGTCTTGTAAAATATGGCCACAATCTCTTTATTTACTGCTTGTTACCGTAGCTACACTACAGCCCACCTAAAGCACTGCTGCGAGTTTGCCTCTCTAGTGACCTAGAAAGTTTTCATTTATCGGTAGCCAGTTCATGTATATGACAACAAATTCCCAGCTAAAAGTGAACTCGGGAAGAAAAAGTGGTCCAGACTACACAAACCAGCTGGCACCATTCAGTGCAAATCATCAGAATAAAGTTAGTGTGATTTGTCAGCTTTTTGCCCTGTAATGGTGAATATCAATAAAGGCCACTGAAGTGCATTTAAAACGTTTCAAAGCTTTTAAAAAAGGATAAGGCATTTTTTTTTAAGATAGATCATAATGACCTGTCCAATGGAAAAAGTAGATCTCAAGCCACAAAAGTAAGGGCACCCCTGCTGTACAGAGTGCAACATTTTCTGCTAATTTGGTTCAATTTGTTTATATATTGAACATGTTGGGAAGGAAAAATGAAAAAAAAACCATCACATAAAATATAATACGTGCCACAACTTTTGTACTAGGCTACATTTCATGTCTTGTTTTTTTTTCCTCAACTGTTGTAATTTTATCAAATAAACAGCACTTATGCATTAAAATGTGCAGACATGTTTAATCATTTAAAAACTTATTTTCACTTACAAACATGAAAACGAGCAATGGAAAAGTTGGCATGTTCTGAAACCAAAAATATTCCATAATTTAGTACTGCAGTATCAATCTGCGTTTCCTTTAATTAGTGATGTAAAGTTAGTTGGGAAGCGCAAGCGCAGTGATAACAACTAACTTGTTGGACTATTATTAACATTATCAACTTCGATTCATCGTTACAGCCCTACAACAGTCAGAGTCTCATCCATCATTTATCAGCTGATTTGTGTATTTTAATGTGGCATCTGTGTATGAGCTTTTTCTGCAGCCTGAGTGCAGCTCTTCCCTGATCTGCATGACAGATATTCTCTCCGGCGCTCCCCACCTGTAACTCGCACCTGTTCTGCCACACCTGCCAGCCCCACTTTGATTTTATACAATATGACTTCATTCAACATCAATTATGACAATTTTTTTTTCTCAAAGGGCTACATGACTAAATATGCTAATGCTGCTCATAATTTTATGACCAGGTAGCACTTTGGAAAACAATTAAGCTAACAGTTCCCCAACAGCTGTCAATAGCTGTGAGCACCATTACTTCAGTTGTGGGTGTGTACTTATTTCAGGAGGCAGATTACTGATCTAGAATCAGTTTGTGTCTTTCATGATCTAATGAACATCATGTGGACACTGATTGTAGCCTCTTCCGCAGAGATGTTTCACACATTAATGTTAATATCAGGGGTCACGGATGCAAATATAGCCTTTTTTTCACTATCCAAAACCACCAGTGAACCCGCAAGTGTCTGAGTTTTATATGTAATGTTGATGGTAAAATTGTGGGTAATCTGGGCTAAAAAAAAATCTTTGGTGACTATTTTGCCTTATAATGCCCTGCATGTACCTCTACACCATGAATGAATTGTACAAAAATAGGTTTTAGGCCAAAATGTTTTAAAAACTATTGCAAAAATGTTTCAGGCATCGTGCAATATATATATATATATATACATACACACACATACATACATACATACATACACACACACACACACACGTCATCACCACCACTGTGATTAATTCTGACAGTATTTCATATCAAACTACTTTGAATAACTGTTCACATCTTAATTTAAATTATACAGAAAGTTTGGGGAAAAAAGGGAAGTTTAAAGGACGCTACACTACCGTGAAAGCTGTAACAAATCCAACTGCAAACCACACTTAATATATACTCAGGCAGAGCAAACGGTCTCTGATGTTCAAATAATCCCTGCAGACTGTTTCTGAACTTATATCTGGAGCTTTGTAGCATCTGTGTAACAAAGTCAGCTGCTTCTGTAGCATTAAGAGGCTGACACTTAATTTTGTCGCTGCTGCCACACAGTGACAGGATGATGGTAACGTGTGCGTGCATGTTGGTGAAAAAAACCTGTCCTGAAACGGCTACTGGTTTCATCGTAAACCACGATAAATTACAGATGGTTAGTATTATCGTTTCAAATTTCATTACCACTTTGAAAAACCTCACGTTAAACACTGTCCAGCATCAACCAAAATGAGCACCTCAGTCTTCCAGATGCAGGCGCAGCATGCAATGTAGGTCTGTTGTGACAGTGTAAACATGACAATGGCAGGATATTCTACTTAAATCACCTTAATCAAAATGTCTATCAGCATCAAAACTACAAAGCTGAAATCAGCTTCTTATCATAATTCTCCTGTTCCACCTTAGATGGCGCAGCAGTTATTATAACGCCTGAGACGCCAGAATGTAACTGCTTCACCATTTAAGGTGGAACAGGGAAATCCGAACAAGAAGCAGGCGAACAGGAAGTCAATTTCAGCCTTGTATTAAAACTGCAGGTAGGATAGATTCACAGTCTAAATATTCCTATCAGCAAATGCTTGTAAAAATTATTAAGGGATAATAGAACATTTAAGACATTCTGATAGCCTAAATCACTTTATTGGGATAAGCAGTCATATTAAGTTGAGTCTTGACTGAATTAACATTAAAAGCACCATAAAACATTTGAATGTTCAAAGTGTTTGAACCTCTCATGGCCACATGGTGCCACTTTTAATGTTATGGCTATGGTTTTCATATGTTTACATAAGGTATTGGCTATATTACTGCTTTAATCTTTAGTGCATAGTGCTGCTAACTGTCTTTATGGCTTTCAATATAAAAATTGGTGAAGTGATTTCAGTCTGTGTATCAGTAGTTTTTGAACATTTTCATCACATTTTAACACCACCATGATAATACTGATAACCGTGATACTTTTCATCACTACAATCATCAGACTAAATATTCATATCATTTCATCTCCAGTTCCGATTAAGCTTGCATGGCCACAAACCAGGTAATTATTCAATCTAGAACCACATAAAAAAGGCTGAAGAAGGACTGAAATTGCCCAAATATGACTTTTTCCTTAAACATAATACAGACTGGGGAACACTCTTTATATTGGACCTGAACTGTGGACCAGTATCAGCAGCATTATAGAGATAATAGCATAAAACCTGTCCCTGTGGGCTGTTCACACTGTCTAATATGGGTCACTTGGGCTACATTCAGACTGCTGACCCAAATCCGATTTAATACCCAAATCTGACTTTGTTGTTTGGTTGCTCATTTTATCCTTTTAATGTGAATTATGTCTGACATTAGTCTGAACAGATCACGCTCTGGAACTGAACCATATGCACTAAAGAACTCTGGTCCTCTTGCCATGTCCACCCAACAAACACAGCTGAACTCTTTCCTTTTCCTTAAGATTGAAAGACTCCTTGTCGAAACAGTAAGACAAACAGCAGACTTAGCATCCAGACCACCAGACCACACTTAACAAAGTTTACAGAAAAGAGCAAAGTTACTGTGGAAGCTGATCAAATGGAGAAATGAAGCTCACTTTCTTTTTTTTGTGTCAAAAAAGTCAAATTCAAAGCTTTGGACTTGAATCAACACAGTGACGGTAAAGTTTGCCAACGATGTTTAGACAGTCTGTATCACGTGTCAGGCTCCAGTCCTGGTGGGCCAAAACACTGCAGATCTCAGCACACTGCTCATTGAAGACACCTGATTTACATTAACATTCACGGTATTTACCAAACGCTCTTATCCAGAGTGACTTACAATTTGATCATTTATTTATTTATTTATTTTTTTAACACAGGTAGGCGAACGTAGCATTAGGAGTCTTGCCCCAGGCCTCTTATTGGTATAGTGTAGGGTGCTTGCCCAGGCAGGGGATTGAACCCCAGTCTACAGCGCAGAAGGCAGAGGTGTCACCCACTACACTACACCAACCTCATTTAGCTCATTAGCTAATTAGCAAGCCCTTCATGAACTGAACTCAAAGCATTAGATGAGGGTAAACGTTCATCTCCGCAGCACTTTGGCCTGGAAGGTCCCCAGTTTGACATACCGGGTCTATATGAAATAGGGGATGTCTATAGGGGACGCCCCCTTGTGTCACCATATGAAAAATACATCCTTCCACAACTCCACAACACCCACAATCATAGTCCAACTGCATTTTACTTTAGACAATTTGGAAAAGTAAAACGTAAGGTTTGTAATGAAGATTACAAACATCTGCCCACCTGAAGGAGCTATCCAGCCCCCCCATTAGCCAGCTAAGTTTATTTATATAGCATTAGCTCTCCAAATTTGTTTTCCAAGGTCAACTATAATTAATATGACAAGTTCTCTATGTCTTCATTTATAAATAAAGTATAAAATTAATATATTCTTCTTTATGTCTTTTCTTTTTTTTTGAATGCAGATTATGATGTGGAATTAATTCCTGGAAACAACTTCTTTGATTCACTTAGAATCGGAAGCAGAGTTGACTCCAAAACTAACAATCCTACCTGTCTTCATGAAAGATGCTAGCAAAGTACTTATTAGTTTATGCTGCTCATGCTCGTCTCACTCGTTCTCCACAACAAAAGATGCTAAGTGTGTTTATAGTAACAGCCGTTTTGATAACATTGCAATAAAAGCTTTGTTCCCATGCAAAATTAAACGAAGATGATTTGGACTGACACATGAATTCAGCGATGACTGCTGAGACCAAGGTCACATTGCCGCATATCAGATTTCAGTCCTATGTATAAAGGTGGCCCAAACCAGTATTCAGATTCAGTGTGTTTTTGATGGTCACACTGTCATACAAAAACAAATCTGTGTCACACATATAGAAAAAAAAAAAACAGCTTTGGGCCACTTATGTGCAGTGTGAACACAGCCTCACACATCTGAATGTGAAGCGTCAAGGCACAAAGATCAGATCTGAGCAAAAAAGCAGCAGCGAAGCAGTAATGCTTGAACTGTGAACCAATGAAACACTCCACATCCACCAGGGATCGAGCCAAAACCCCTCCAGCTGACTCACCCAGCTCTCCTGCCGCGTTCCTCCCTCCCACAGCGTACAGGTACCCTTTGAGCGCGCTCAGGTGAAAGAATGTTCTCTTCTCGTTCAGACATGCCACCTGCATCCACTTGTTATAGCGTGGGTCATAACGGAACACCGTGTCCACGGCTGTCTTGCCCTTAGTGTCGTAGTTGCTCTGGCCACCCACCACATACAGGAAGTTGCCAATGACTGCGATGCCGTGCTGATACCGGGGAGCGTCCATGGGCGCCAGTGCCTTCCACTCGTGCGCTTTCTCGTCAAAAAGTCGTAATTCCTTGCTAACGACCAGCTGCTGTCTGAGGACGCCCCCTAGTGTCACCAGGTGCGAACTGTCCGAGCGGATCGCAGTCCGTTCCGACTGCATGACCGGCTGCATGTACGGCATCATCTGGTAGTTGCTGGCTTCTAACAGGAGGTTGACGCAAGTGTTGTCCGTACGCATGAAGTCCACTGTCTGTACGTGGTTGATGAGGTCCGCCGGGCTCATTAACGGAAAGCGGATGTTGCGCATTAGCTTAGCAGCGTAGTCCATGCGGCCGTCCTCGTAGCGCAGCCAGCGGCAGGCAGCTTTGAACAGGTCCAGCTCGCTGCAGTGCTTCAGGCTGTTGGAGGACAGGACGAAAGCCAGGCGCTCGAAGGGCAGCTTGACAAACTCGCCCGTGCCCAGCAATGAAGGGAAGTTCTTCAGGATGAAGTTGTTGACGTATTTGTCCACCTCTGTGAGGTTGTAGGCATTGGCAATACGGCCCACTTCCACACAGTTCTCCAGAGACACCTGGGGGAAGATGATGAACGTGAGCATGCAGGATGAGGATAGGTACACATTTTTCCCCAAACAAAGATCAACTCTAATTTTTAAGCTAAGAAAAAGGGCTAGACATCAAGTGATAAAGCAAATAATTTCCAAATACTTTTTTACTATTTATAGCGTAGTGAAGGAACAACAAGGCTTGTTAAAGAAAAGTTGAACACGGAGTGTTAAAAGAACTGTTTTTCTTCCTGTTCCAAGTTCAAAACAGATGTTTCTCATTTGTTCAGTCCATGGCACTAGTCAAAAGAAAATGTTTAATGTTAGATCACTTGAAATGAATCTACTCACAAAATTCAGTTTAAATAAAATCAATGATCCAACGGAGTGCTTGTGGAATCCCTGACAGCACAAGAGTGTGAAAAGCTCATAAAGAATAGCCTTTATTTTTTATTTTGTCTGATTTTTTAAAATGTATGTAATTCACTGCATTTTACCTCATGATGGACTAATCATTAATGGTTAAGTAGTATAGTTGAATACCCCTGCCTTAGGGTCACTTCAGTTCAGCAGATGGTGGTATAGGTACAATAGATTATGTACTGATTTTGTGACAGACCTATTCTAACATTGTGACGCTTTATACAAAATAAACAACATTTGAAATTAATAACAGACTTGGCGCATTTTGTGGGCATTTTGACAGAAGCTAAGCTGTGTGCTAATATTCTGTAAAGCTGGTCTAACCTAGCAACAATCGCTACAAAAGAACCTGCCGTATGAACAGGTCAACTCTATAAGCTAAAGTCAGTGATGCTATTAAGAGATTGTCCCAGAAAGTTCTAGTTCAGTGAACAGCTTCTGATCTTTCTGTAAAGACTGTGACTTCTTTGCCTGTTTAATTAGCCTTACATCAGAGTCTTGACCAGCATTTACACAAAGGTTTTCAACCCAATCCTTGCGGACCCCCACATCAAGTCCATATTTTTATTCTGTTCCAGCTCCAAACGCACCTCAGCCAGGTAATCAAGGACTGTAGAAGGCCGATTACCTGCTCAGGTGCCTCGGGAGCCAGAACAAACAACAAAGTACACAGGCTGGCGGACCCCAAGGTCTGGATTAAAAAGCACTGCTCTAAGTAATTAACAGTGTGATTCAAACTTCAGAGCCAAAGGAACAAACTATAGGGAAAAGAGCCCAAATTAGAACACCTGTACCCTTCATACATTTGAACTGTGTTTACTGAAGAAGGCCAGTGTGTGAGAGGTGGTAATCTGTGTACATGTGGTGCGTGTGATGGTAATCTCCTACCCCGGAGATGAGGAACACTTTGCAGAAGTCGAGCACGGGCAGGATTTGCAGAAAGCTGGCTGCCTCCAGTGTGTCCTGCAGGTTCTCCATGTTGAGCGAGAGTTTGGCGGTGTAGATAAAGTCTATAATCTTCTTCAGGCCGATCCTGTTCACCCCGTGCAGCTTTATACACATGAGATCCTGCTCTTTCATCCCACCTGAGAGAGAAACAGAGAGAGAAATAAGGGAGAAGTACAAACTTGGAAGAGGAGGGAAAGTTTTAAAGACAAAGAACGGAGGGAATTGAAGATTTAAGAGAAAATGATAAGAAAGAAAGAGTGGACAGAGAAGCAGGTCTGATTACCAGGGACTGACATGGTTATTTGACTATCTGGACATTTAAACTCATCGTAATGTAAGTTAACTAAAAGGTAAGGGTCAGACAATAGTGCTGATATTGGTAGTAATGAATGAAAGCCATTAGCTTCCAATTAGCACTGTGAAAAAAGACATTGTGCTAACTGGTGGCTACTAAGGATACATGTTGTAGCAAATACTTTTGACCAATAACAGACCATTATTAGTCTGTGATTAATCTTAAAATCTTAAATCACAGACACGATCCATGAAAACTTCAAACATAAACAAGGCTTTAGCCTTTATTGAATAAAACACAGCCTAAAGCGAAGCATGACTGTCATAATGTAGCCTACTTACTTAAATTAACCGCATATTATTAGCCCAAGTTAACAAACCTGGCTTTTCCGAGAGCTTGAAGTTCATACGCATAGTTTAGACAATCGACATAATCAGTACAACCTAAGTTTTAGTGAGCTAACACCACAGCTCTCTAGCACATCATCAGATGTTGATGAGGACTCATCTACACGAGGGCTTTACCCCCTCAGTGAGCCACTTCCTAACGTCTTGGACCTAGCTAGCATCAGCTAGAGTAGCCTAGTTAGCCAAAAGTCCGTGCCAGAATGGGCCACGCTCTCTCTAACTCCCAGTCACATCCTTAACAACGCATCCTTGGCAACACAATCACATGAAGGCCCTCATGTTTTGCAATAGTAAAGCATAATAATATGTACGGTGCTGTGAAAAGGTTTCAGGCACTCGAGAAAGATTTAAAAAGCTGGTTATCTAGACATCAACTGTTTATTTGCTCATGAAATATTATGATATAAATAACAATTATGCAAATAACATTATTAGTGTGTGTTTGTTTAACCCTTTCCGGACCTCTCCTCGAAGAAGCCCGGTATTATTGGTGGTTGTCATCTAGTACCTGGTTTGACTAATCAATACTTCATTATGTAATCAAGTGTCCTGCTGACGTAATTTAACAAAACTACGAGGTGGCTGGGGTTATCGAGGAGAAATCTTGAGTCAAGCTTTGTTCGGCAAACTAGCTCACATGGTAATGGGGTGGGAATCTCTACGCACCTCACGATTCGATTATGATTCAGAGGGCTGCGATGCGATTATAAAACGATTATCGATGCATCTCAATGCATCTTTTTTTTCTATACAGCGTTTCTATTTTCTCACTGTGTGAGCTCAAGTTTCGAGATTATTTGTCACTTGCACAACATGTCAGGACATTTATGCATTGAAATGCTTGCGGTGAGGCTCAGCTAATCACTCTACAGAAAGTAAATAAGTAACAACTGAAATATATTAAATATACACAAAATATACACAGAATGTAGAGACAATATACATTTTAAAGTGACTAAGTAACTCGGTGTTATTGTTATTTAAAGTGACTTGGTACTTTTAAAGCAAGCTGTCCACGCAGCACGTTTCAGCTATTCAACCTGTTTTCTTTAGTGATTTTATAACTTCGGTTTTGGTCTCGTAGTAAAGTGTCTGTTTCGCAACAACTGAGAATTGCCGTGCAGACTGCAGGTCACCTAGCAGCGATGCGTTATTTGCATTTATAAGTAGCGCAGTTGGTTTCCTGGTCCGTAAAATCTGCAACGAGAAACTGTCACACAGTAAAAAGTGGCGAAGCTGAAGTCGGCTTCTCTTTCAAATTCTCCCGTTCCACCTTTACATTCGGCGCCTCAGTTACATTTAAGGTGGAACGGGAAAATTCGAACAAGAATCTGGAGAATAAGAAGCGACTTCAGTCTCGTAAAACAGTCGAACGCTGAGACATTTAACTGATCAACTTGCGGAGATGAGAGGAAAGCGGCTAAAGCTTAAAGCACAGCAAAGTAAATCTGCGTTTTTGTTTATATTGTTTAGTCTATACTAGGACATCAGCGCATACTGAGACATACTGGACATTAAATGTTGTGGCTCCCAAGCTGGTTTGATTTTTGTTGAAAGGACAAAATGGCTCTTCTTATCATTTGGGTTGTGACTCCTGACCTAACCTGGCTTTAATGCAGAGGGAGCCGGTCGGATTTCTCACTCATGTTTTTGTTATGTGTCGCCACAGACTGTCCGGGCGCTGCACTTACCCACTTCCCAGTTCCGCCTTTTGCGTTCCGTCAACATTACGTTATAAATTAAATATTTAGAAAATAGTTTTTTGACATTTGTGAATCGATTCAGAATCGTTCACGTCCGCATCGTGATGCATCTAAGAATAGATTTTTTCCCGCACCCCTACACGGTAAGTACTTTTTTTTTAAAGACATTCAAGATACTTTTATTGTATTTACATTCATTTGCATTTATTATAATGATACATGGTTCTTTACATGCAAAAACACTCATTGCCAAGACAAATGATTTTAAACAATTTGCTTAGATGCCTAAGACTTCTTCACAGTACTGTACAAACTCGCAAAAATACGAGAAAAACACTCACACTGCACACTTCCCTAGTCCAGATCTTGCACTAGCAGTAGGCACTATTTAAATACTAGCCTCTTAAGAATGCAGATATGTGAGTGGATGCAACTTATGCTACATTAATGACAAGTTTTACTCAAAATCCACACTTTTATTCAAAACCGCTATTTCACTACTGAGAGAGAAAGAGAAAACAATAGAGGAAAAGATGGACAGAGAGCATAAAAAAAAAAAAGTCTTCCTATAAAGTGAACTGTGTTTTATTATTCATCAAACAGAGGGTCAGTGAGAACGCATCACAGAACTGTCTACAGCGGCTCAGGAGAACAACACACAGCATGAAAACACACGTAAGCAGCACTGACAGCATACTCCTTCAAACAGTTCATACCCACGGGCGAAACACACACACACACACACACACACACACACACACACACACACACACACACACACACACACACTCCTGTTTGAAAATTAACATCTAACAGAGCGCTGTCTCTCTAATCTGTGTAGAGCAGTACACAGACAACGAGCCAACCACTCACACTAGGGCCCAGAAGAACCGAGTGCTACATCCACTAGTTGGCAGTGAGGGCAGCCAGGCCTGTGCCCGGTGACGGTTAACAGAGTTACCACGGTAACAACTCATTTACCACTGACTAAGAAAAACACTGTTCATTTATTGACTCATTTCACACCTGAACCTACAGTCATATTGAGTCACATTATATGTTTTGTTGATTTAAACAAACGTTTAACATCCTTTTACAGGGAACAAACTTAAATATGTTGTTTTCCTACTAAGTTTAGTACACAATTCCTATTTATTTGTTGACTTTAACATACTGGGGTTAAAAAAAAAAAACCAGGGCATTGCACAGGCCACACTATGTTTTACTTTAGCACATACATTACATTTGACACAAATAGCTATTGTGTATTAAAGTCTGTTCTCTGTAGAGGGTGTGTTGACCTGTGTTTCTGTGTTTCACAAAAAATCAACAAAACATTTGACCGTTTGACAATTTCACCAGGGGTGCCCAAACTTTTGCATATAACTGCAAACTGAACTTTCAAATATGTTGGTGATGTGATAACCTATATTAACACCACATTTATCTTACCTTACACAGACTGCTGAGCTGTGAAAGATGATATGCGCCTATGTTATATGATTGTTAAGTCTGGGTGAAATTCACAATTATATTTTCAATTTATCCGCAAGAATAATTACAGTCTTGCAGGTAAATTAAAAACTACAACATACTACAATCATAAACTTACTAATAAGCTTACACTCACACGCTATCACTGCTCCTGCTTTCACATCTGCTTCATTGTTAAAAACCGTCTCAAAATTACCAGAAGAAACACCCTGGAATTAAACAAGTTAATGTCAACAATGTCGCTGTCAACAGAGACGTCAACAACAACGTCAACAACAACAACAACAAATGTGCACAGGTCTCTTGTTTATATGCTATTAGCTGCTTCAAACAAAACTTTCTAATCCTATGTATTTTTCTTACACATCAAGGTTCACTGTTATCAAGATGTTTCACACTTTCCTTTAAATAAACAAGAAAAACCAGGCAAGCTAAGCTTTGCCTGACTGCCAGGATGTAAACTCTCTCCTCTGCAACTTTTAGTAAACAATGCCAGGGGTGAGGAATCCATTTTAAAAGTGAGGGGGACACAGTTGTCAGTCTATGACACCCCTCAAACCAAACACTTGTAGGTTCAGTATTACTATTAGCCTGCAGCAGCATGTGAATTTCAAAATCAAGCCAATTTGAGTGATTGGAACAGCAATACACAAACACACCCCACAGGGATGATAACCAGCTCCCATATGGTCCAAAATTAGCCTTTCAAAGTTTTTAGCTAGACACATAACACACTCCAAGAACACAAAACTATGGTTACGCTCCAAAATAAGACGCCAACCCATCACTGACCTGTGGTGGGGATAGTCCCTCAAAAAATATTCAATTCCAAATTACTAATTCTCTCAAACTGTAATGGGATCACTTTACGTAAGTAAAGTGATCCCATAATCTCACAATTCCCTTTACCTTACATCATGTTACTTTCTAAACAAATCTGTGCTAATCATAAATAGCTGGTCTCACATCATTTAAAAGGAATCTCACCATCGCACAAGCTAAACATAGTGTAGGAAGTAGGGCTGCAGTCGAGACCACCTTTGTTGAGTCCAAGACAAGTCAATGACCAAGTCCAGACTGAGTATAAATCAAAGTGAGGGCAAGTCAAGACTTTATGAAAGCCCGACCGGGTCAATAACAAAAGGCCAACAAAATTCCCAAAAAAATCCCCCCCCCCAAAAAAAAGTCATTATCTCCTTCGGGCACAAATTTCTGGACAATATAAGAGAAGAATTTTCTATCCACAAAACAAAACTGTATGTACAACAACAACTCCAGCTCTAAACATAACTGTATATTATTCACCGTACATCTGTTCATTTTTAGGGTGATGGCCATTGTACACGGCTGTGTATAAGACTGAGAATAGTTTTAAACTACTTATTTGGGCAGTAAAAACACTAAACAGCATTAGAATAATACAAATCAGCAGTCGTGGGCTGGAGTTTAGGGAACCAGCCCTGTGACTGGAAGGTCGCCGGTTCGATCCCCTGAGCCAACAGTACGTGACTGAAGTGCCCTTGAGCAAGACATCTAACCCCCAACTGCTCCCTGGGTGCTGCGGATAGGGCTGCCCACATGCAGGTGTGCTCACTGCCCCCTAGTGTGTATGTGGTGTTTCACTGCACGGATGGGCAAATGTGGAGGTGAAATTTCCCCGTTGTGGGACTAATAAGGGTCACTTTAATCTAATCTAGTCTAATCTAAATACTGGGCTTCCACAAAGAGAGCTTTAAAAATGGTCACACATATACACACCTATCAAATCACAGTGTGATCTTTATTTATTTGTATTATTTGCACTGTTGATGTCTTCTGAACAAAAACAATAACTGACCGCATAAATAGCTTCACAAACCATTTTCTCAGATGCCTGAGACTTTTATTCAGCTCTGTATGTTTGATATTAGTGTTGACAATCGACACAGAGAAACTGTACTTGTCAAATAAACACTGTGACTTTCATACAAACCCTCTCAGCTCCACCTCTCTCTCCATCTCTCGTCCTCTATCCCCTTCCTTCTCCTCTGCACTTCGGCCCGTTTTGCGTGTCACTCAGATGTCTTACTTTTTAAAGTGGAGTGACACGACTGTCATGAAGCGAGTAGAGAAATGAGTGGTAAAAACAGCCTCGAGAACACAGCAGCCCTTCATGTGATACAGTTAGAGAGAACGCGAAAGAGAGCGAGAGAGTGAGCGAGCGAAAGAGAGAGCTAAAGAGAGAGAGAGAGAAAATGCTCAGGGGCTAGTCCTGTCAAACTGTGTTATGTTGACGAGCCAGCGATATTTACATCAGATTATATTCTTTCAGGGCACTGGTGAAGAGACACAGACTAAAAAGACACTGACTGAAAAACAAACACACAGGTTTGTTTTTGTACAATGTCACGACACGTAGGCATTTATACATGTACGTCTCCAGATACACACGCACATACACACACATACACACACTACATGGACAAAAGTATTGGAACACCTGAAGGTGCTTTTATGACATCCCATTCTAAATCCATAGGTATTAAAATGGAGCTGGTCCCCCCTTTGCAGCTATAACAGCTTCCACTCTTCTGGAAAACCTTCTACAAGATTTTGGAGAGTGTCTGTGGGAATCTTAGCCCATTCAAACAGAAGAGCATTTGTGAGGTCAGACGCCAATGTTGGATGAGAGGGCCTGGCTCGCAATCTCCCTTCCAGGTCATCCCTAAGGTGTTTGATGGGGTTGAGGACTGGCCTGCACAGAGCCCTGACAAGTTCTTCCTCACCAAACTCACCTTGCTTTCTGCACTGGGGCTCAGTCATGCTGGGACAGGAAACGTTCTTCCCCAAACTGTTCCCATAAAGTTGGACGTGTACAATTGACCAAAATGTCTCGTTGTGCTGAAGCATTAAGATTTCCCTTCACTGGAACTAAGGGGTTCCAGGCCAACCCCTGAAAAACAACCCCATAGCATCATCCCTCCTCCACCAAACTTTACAGTCGGCACAACGCGGTCAGGCAGCTAACGTTCTCCTGGCATTCGCCAAACCCGGACTCGTCCATGAGACTGACACTTCGTGACTGAGTTGCTGTGGGTCCTAAACGCTTCCACTTCCACAATATTACCACACAATATATTTCTGAGACTTAGTAAGGTGGAACATACACAACAGAACCTGCAGAGCCACAATAAAATGCTACAATAATAAACCTACAATGATTTTAATTCAATGTTTTATGCTCCAATAAATCCAATTATACACGTCTACTTGTAATTATACACGGAAAAAAAATATGCAGCTAGTCAATGTTCTTTAAGTGACGATATCCAGGATACGCTTAGAAAAGTGTATTGTAACATATTTCATCATTATCATGCGCAGCTCTAATATATATGCAAGTTTTGATAAGTAATGATGTCCCATATATAATATACATCTGTAAGCACCAAGACATAATAATGTGTATATTATAGATATAATAATATTTATGAGCGAATGTACAGAGTTTAACGCTGGTAAACGTTTAGAAGCAAATTCGAATCTTTGCCCAGTACTACTATTGCTTCGGTCCGTTAAGAATTTCCTTGGCAACCTATCATCAGGACATGCCTCGCCCTACCCATTCCACAACTAAACACAAACTGCAGGAGCCTAAAGTGACCGCGGATTAAATCATTTTTGTCCTGAAAATGTACAGAACCAAGAACATACACAAACCAAACTCAACACTAACCCAAACTGACCACTGTGAACAACTGCCATTAAAGATGTATAAATCATCTATGATGCAGGAGTTGTGAGTTATGAGCGAGTTATAGAATTAGTTATAACACATAAGTAATATAAACGAATGTTTGAAGTCTGACAGGCCACTGCCAGAAACGTCAAAAATGAAAGGTTCACTGTGTCGGTCAAAACTAGAGCATGAGCACTTTTCCCTATTTAGAGCTCACTTAACCCACTAGCTAGCTGCTAAACCCACAGCAGAGCTGCAGCCCTCAGGCAGCTGAAAGAGCTCTCACACTCGTAACACTCTTGATCTGATTCACTACTGTAAGCACGGCTTACAGGAAATGGGGATCTGAACATCTGAAGTGAGTTCACGCTACCGGCTCAGTGCAAACAGCCATCTTTATGCAGACCAAACGATGATGAACTTCCCTTCCTCTGTTGCGCTGCCCAACATCACTGAGGAATCAGTCAGCAGAGGAACTGGCTTTATATTGGCTCCCATATAGGACAGTAGGGAGCAGTTGTTAGAGATGGACTCAGGTACTTGAGCACCTGGTTAACTCTTCCAGGTGTCACTGACAACTGAAATCACTATTCGGGTATTTCATCACAGGAAGGCAGAGAAAATATACAAGCTGTTGTTAAGAGTGCGACTGAGAAGGCAGGGACAATGCCGCTGTACTGCAGCAGCTATAGGCTAGCTACGCTAACTGTACTGCAGCAGGTATAGGCTAGCTACGCTAACTGATGTTAGTTAGGTCCAGTAGCACACACATTATCTAAGCCACTTATCCTTCTGGGTCGTGGTGGGAGCTGAAGCCTATCCCAGCAGTCATTGGACGGAATCAGGAAACACCCTGGACAGGTCGCCAGTCCATCACAGGGCAGAAAGAGACATACACATTCACACCTAGGGCCAATTTAGCATCTCCAATCGGCCTGACTGCATGTCTTTGGACACAGACTCCACATAGAAAGGACCCTCGCTGCCGAGCCAGGGAGTCGAACTCAGCCCCTTCTTGCTGTGAGGTGACTGAGACCCAATCACATTTCTTTTTTTTTGCCCCTCCCCCTCGTTTTCAAGTGGAACCTTGCCCATTGAATTGGAGTTGCAAGGGGTAGTGGTTGAAATTCTCCCTATGAAACGGGACCCTCAAAGAAAAAAAGAGCACTACTTCATTAACAGCTACTAGCGCTGCTCTGTAGGCGACCCTGCCAGTCTGCAGTGACAGCAGAGAAGGGTCCCATATCTCAACAAAGATCAGGAGACTCTACCCCTAGACGTGAAATCAACACCTTTACTTGTCCATTGTTTTTTCTTCTCTCACCTGTGAACATGGCTTTGAAGTAGTCGCTGGATGACGCCATCATAGCTCGATGGACAGGAAACGCCTCATCACCGTCGCCAGCAACTAATGTGACATCACACAGCAGGCCCTCTATCCTTAATTGGTCAAAACCCTGAAAGAGAGAGAGTTATGATTAATTATTCAACATAGCCGGGCAAACAGCAGATTTTTACAGGTAATAAGCAAACAAACAAAAACAAACAAATGAGAAAAACAACAGAAAAGAAACAGAAAGAGAATTCTAATTAATTATTTAACAAAAGCTTGCAATTTCCAGATTTTTAACTGACTTTTACAAATAATGGCAAAAAAACAACAGACGATAGAAACTGAGCCAGCGAGAGAGAGAAAGCAGGCAAAAGAGAGAAACAAAGGAAAAGAGAGAGAGAGCGAAAGCACTGACAAGCGCTGACCTAATGCTCTTAATTGCATGAAAGCAACAAGACAAACAAAAGGAAAGCAAACAAAATTTCTTGGCCTGGAAAAAAAATACAAAGGAGGAAATAATTCCCTCAGCGGCCTACATCTAATTACTGACTAAGAACCTGGATGTCCAGCAAGCGTACTGAGTGTACGCTGAAGCGTCCAGCTGAAGTGGCTGATGAATAAAAGATTTCAGGGCTAATTTATTGAGTGTTGGGTCAGGAGGAGAGGGACCGACTGTCATTATGGCCGTGCTCACACCAGAGCCGGTAACGTTACACTTGTTTTTTTTTTCTTCTTTTTTTTTGAACCGAGTTGGATCGAAGAGGTGTTAAAGTAAGTGTGCATCTGAGAAGGCCATGTTAAAGAGCTAATGAAAGCGATGGCCTTTAGCTGCAGAGCTGCTGGGGTCACTGGAGCACTCTTGGGGCTAAAGGTTCACACAGAGCAGTGTATGAGGTTTCACTAAGGCTAAACTACATTGTAGTACTTGATATACTGTCTGAACTGGTATTTTTCCTACTCATATATATATATATATATATATATATATATTATATATATATATATATATATATATATATATATATATAAAAGTCTCCTTTGCTTTTAGTTTAGTTATGATCATAAAGTTCCCAAACTAAAAGTTGCACAAGCACAAGTAGAGATTAACGGTGGAATAATCAGAAATAATTATGAATTTCTGACTTGTTCTTGATCTTTACATTTCTTCATGGTGGAGGAAAGGATGTTTTCGGTGGTTGATTGCAGATAATTCTTGCCCAGTTTTCTTTCCAGTTTATCCATGGCCATTTCCACCTTCTAGCTATTTCACCCATAACCACATAATGCTACCATGCCAGGAGGGTGAAGGGGGGGAGGCACATGCCTCCTCTGAGACAAATTAAGTGTCTCTGCATCTTTTTAAACTACTACAAAACACAGTCACCACACATCTCAACACTATAAGGCCCAATCCCATTTCTTATTTTTACCCCTACCCCTTGTTTTCAAGTGTCACCTTGCCTTGAGTTGCAAGCTGTAGTGGTTGTAATCGTCCCCTATGAAATGGGACCCTCAAATAAAATAACATTATTTCATTAGCAGCTACTATCGCTGCTCTGTAGGCGACCCTGCCAGTCTGCAGTGATAGCAGAGGAGGGTAAAGTTCAGCTCCTCACTGCTGGGCTTTAGTTACATTTAGGGCATCATATGCTTTTAAAGAGGGGGATACGACAGTTTTTTATTTAACTACCCGCTCTTAATTATTTGGTGATATGAAGCTGAAGTCTGCTATTCGCCAGCTTCTTGTTTGAAATCTCCCGTTACACCTCAAATGGTGCAGCAGTTCTGACGCCTGTGGCGCCAGAATGTAACTGCTGCACCATTTAAGGTGGAACGGAAAATTTATCTAGACAGCTACCGCAACATCAGTATAGTACTAGCAATATTTTAATGCTTGTTATGAAGAAAATGACCATAATACACTGAATCAACATTAAACTAAGACAGTACAATGATTATCGTAATTTTTAAACAGAAAATTCTCACATTTATGGGTTTCTTTGATCGCTTGCGTAACCATCTCACTGATTTTTCTTTCTTCTCATAACACTGTGTGCATCTGAAAAACCTCCGTTTGGAGGGCCATGTAGTCCTAACACTTCACCCTACCCCTCTATCTCAACAAAAATCGGGACACCCTACCCCCCTAGGCATGAACAAAACGGAGGGGTAAGGGCTAAGTGGTAGGGGTGAGGGGTGAGATGGGATTGGGCCTAATTCTGTTACATCAGCTAACAGACAGTTACATTGGCTAATGATGGGGGAGGACGAGCCAACCCACACAGAAGAAGCGAAGCCCTGGCTACGGATGGCTGTGGCATCACCAAGGATCAAACTTGCAGAACAGACTCGCTCACTAGCAAATATTAACAGTGCAACTTAAACATAAAAACCTTCCACGTTGGAAACCGGATTATCCGACTGGCAAGTGAAGGCAGCAACATGTTCAGCCACAAGGAGTATTACAGAAACATCCAAACTCAAGCAATGTGTGATGGGATCCAATAAATCTGTACACATGCAGGGTGAGTTTGCTTTGAGACTGATGCTCAAGCAGCATCTCGCTGCGCAATTAGCATAAGGGAGTGGGTGAGTTTGCAAAGTGTGTCCGTGTGTGTAGAATGTACATTCTAAACTGTCGGCACACGGCCAGGCGTTGCAACGGCATCACCATGGAAATGTGACCACAGTGAGGTATATGACCTACTTTCTAATCAAAATACAGAACTAAAACTAACGAAGAGGATGAAATCTACAGCGCTGATCAAATAAATAAAGTAAGTAAGTAAGTAAAGTTTAGATAATCCTGAAAATACACTGTTGTATTTAGACTCCTTGTTTATGACAGCCAGAAACTAAAGCAACGATCTAGATAAACCTGGCTGATTACAGAATTTATGAATACAATTTAATGTATTATGAATGAGGCCTTGACATTAAGCCTTTTCTTCAAACATATTACCTGTCCAAAGGCCTAAATCATTTACCCACAGAAAGAGTCTATAAAAATATTTGCAAATAACTGTAGTGCATACTTTTTTTTTTAAAAACAAAAGAGAGAGAGAGAGAGAGAGAGAGATTTTAATTTAATCAATTTAAAAGGTGCAAATTGCTCTGTTTTCTACAACCAGTAGTCAGTCACAATTTTCTGAGGTAAATCAGTAACCACTGCCTGACCAGCTGGAGTGCTTACCTTCAATAAGTCACTAAATTAAAGACTCTTAACTAGCTGGCATGAACAGAGTCCTGCTTCTTGACTCTTGACTTCTTGATAAAATTAAATGTTATCAGTAAAGCACACTTGTGCCAGCCGTTTCCTGGTTTCTTTCGCAGGTACATACTTTTCAGCCAAATTGGGTTGTGAACAGTAGGAAACACTAAACAGCCCATGTTCTTAGTCACAGCTCACTCGATAAAATGAATCCCTGGAAGTGAGAAAACATAACTGCTACCTGTTAAGACTCGTATGTGTCAGCATAAACTCTAAGATTGACACGTTTCAGAGCTTTACCGCCACTTGGCCAGGTTGAGCAGGTTTCAAAAACATTCCGACTGATCGACTTACGTCTGGCTCACACTACAGGATGATTGGGCCGATTTTGATTCCGATTTGCTCCTCCCGACAATCGCAAAACGTCTTCAGATATCGTCTTAAACAATGATCTTCCCAGATTATCCTGTGAAGTACCTATAATCCAATCTTTACTCCTACAATCTACTCCTAGTGAAACGTAAACATATTAAGTATATTCAGTATTTACGACTCAGTATCCTGTGGTTTTGGGTGGACACCAATTCTCTGGTGTGAAACACTGCTAACGTTACGCCTGAAAGACAGTGAACCAATGAGAGCTGAGCTGAACTGAACTAGCATGGCAGCTAAATAAAGAACTAGTCACCACATGTGTGTATTCATATGTTTGTATGCATATATATTCACCTCCATCTTATGTTGCAGTATTTATGAGCCCTGTTTACCCCTTCTTTTCTGCCTTGGCTTTCATCCACAGTTTTTCTTCTGCTTGGCTTTTTCTGTGCAGAGAGCAGACACCGCCAGCATAGCAACAGCCTCGCAGTCGTCCGCCGTGTTTGTTTAGATCAGAAGTCATATAGTTTGCGAGAAATTCTTGCGAGGTCTTGTGAATTAGAACCAGTGGTCGGGACTCTTATTTGCATGCATAATCTGAAAGTGTGTGGTGTTTCATTCAGGGCAGATCATGCACGGGGGACTTTGATGGCTAACAACAATCAAGGACAGTCGATGAAAACTATCTTGGCGTGGGGTCTCACGTTTTTAACATCAGTTAGGATTTTTAAAGTCCTGTAATGTGGGCCAGGAAATAGCTAAACTGAAGCTCTCAGGTCTAATGTGAACACTAAACATGCACCTTGGCAGGAAAGCTCTGCTTGAGAACCTGCACATTAGAGGACCTGCAGGACCCGCCGTAGTATCTTGCGGCGCAGGTCTACTTTTCAGTGTTGTGCGCGGCAATAGCCTAAATAAAGTAGAATGGTCACTGAATCGTATATGATTTAGCGATCGTTCTACTTTATTTAGGTTATTCATTAGTTTGTGGGATTTCTCTTCATGCATGCTTCAGCCCGCTCCCGCCTGCAGTGGGCTGGTTTCCTGCCCGCTCCCGCGTGCAACACCAAACAATATAAAAAGATAACAGTAAAACAGTTAAAATGAATTAAGTGATTAAGAGTAGCAAAGCAGCCGATCATGTGAACAGCATGCAAATTCTTGTAGCTTACATAGAAGGCGGAGCCTTAAGTCCAACAGCCACAGCTGCCCAGCAAAACACCACCAATAACCTTTCTGTGGTTTAATACCTGCTTTGTGTTTACTGGGAATAAACAGCGTTTAGTGAAGTTACTTCGCAGTGAGTTTGACGACCATGACAGCCGAGTTATTTCAGCAAAGGATAATGTATTTGTGAATGGACTGTGTCAGATATCGGATGTCATTTCTCCTTGACGGAACTGCACAGATGGGAACAGCCAAAACATTCCGGTTGCGGGTGGGAGCGGGACAATGATTCCGATTTTCTGCGGGAGCTGGACTGAAAAATCTACTGCACATTTAGGCTAAATGCTAAAATCTTGCACGTTTACTTGTTT